TGCATCACCTAATGGACAAAGTGAATACAGTTATTAAAGTAATAGAAGCACTTGGGCCTTTCAAATTGCTCCTGACGCAATATGGTAAACAATCTGAGTAATTGCAAGTCAGCCTTCATCTCGTCATTATTACTTGCTTGAAAATAAATTAAACGGTCACTTTTATTGCCTTTTTGAAGTTCCTTGAATGCTATTTCATTTTACTGCTTAATTGCAAGAATATGTATAGAAACCTACGTGACACCTAGCATAGCACTTACATTAAACAAATGTTTATTAGAAATTAATAGTGTTAGGTGTCGATAATAGATTAGCCAATCCAGGGTACTTTTTCCTTACCAATACTAATAATTTTATATCATTTCAATATATTAACAGTTGCACGATATATTTGTGCGAACTGTGAAAGATCAATCTGCGCCATGTTTTTTAAGCTCCTCCCATTTAACAGATCCCAATCTAATAAAATCGTTCAACACCCTATATAGCTGTACCCGCAGTCCCCCTTATCGTCGGTCCAGGGTTTTTTCCAATAATTTTATATCACTTCAAAAAATGCCAGTTACACGATATGGTATGGAAACTGTGAAAGATCAATCTGCGCCATGTTTTTTAAGCTCCTCCCATTTAACAGATCCCAATCTAATAAAATCGTTCAACACCCTATATAGCTGTACCCGCAGTCCCCCTTGTCGTCGGTCGAGGGGTTTTTTTCCCTACCGATAATTTTATATCATTTCAAAAAATGTCCAGTTACACGATATGGTATGGAAACTGTGAAAGATCAATCAGCGCCATGTTTTTTGAGCTCCTCCCATTTGACGGATCGAAGTCAAATAAACTTTTAGTATACGGCTTTTACTAATTTTGCTTTATTAAAACTTTTGAAAATAGATATAATAGATTGTATGAAAGCTAATGATAATAATAATAATTTCGGCAGACATGGCCTTTTCATTTCGGAATGGATGTACAAATGCTTGATGGCATGACCCCACATGGGAACCAAACGAGTTCGTAGTCATTAATTTAACAATATTAATTGCTTGGGTCTGTAACAAGCTTTTATCCCGCGTTTTGAATAGAACAATAAATCTCTGATATCAAAACGTATACTAAATTTAACACCGTATTTCGTTTCGTGTTGTTGCAATTAAACAACCCCAAACGGCATTTTTGTTACCTAATAATATTAACAATTTTGCAGCAGTTCGCCGATCGTAACAGCGAATGAACGTGAAATTAAAAAATTATTGTACGGTATTTCATTTTTTGAGTTTATTTGCTTATTGAATTCAGTAACAACAACATAATGTGTTGAATTGGAACTCCTAGTCGTATTTATAGTGATCGTAAAATCATCATTTATGTGCCTATATTAATACAGTAAGAATATAAAATTTTAAACAATTCGTGATTTGAAATGACTTGTCTTGAAGATGATATCGAGCCATATTCGTTAAAATTTATCTTCTAGTTAATACAATTTTTATAAGCTTGAAAAGTTTGTGGTTTTTCATTTCTGTCTATGAAGTTATTGTAAATTATACAGTTCTATTTCCTGCATTTCAATTTTAAATTTTCTTTTTTCAGATGAATTCCAGAGAAGAATCTGAAAAAACTGTTCGGGTATCTCTGCCTGATTCGCAATCGACTGCGGTGTACGTCCGAGATGGTATGTCTGTCGAAGAATTTCTTACCAGTGCCTGTACCAGGAAGAACCTCAACCCTACCGAGCATTTCGTTAGGGTGAAAAAGAGAAGAGACATGGAAGACCATAACTATTTTGTGCCTCATCGGAGCGACCTCATCGAAACTTACGTAAGTCATTGGTTTTTATTATAACAAATAATAAAAGAATGTCCTATTGTTATCAATTTTAAATACACCCATTTGACTTAACTACATTAATTTACCGGAATATAGGTCTGTAAAACCAAAAATGGGGGTAAATTCACCGTCATCATTTTATGAGTAAATTGCTGCAATATAAAAAGACATTTAGGTTTTAGTCACTCCAACGATTGCCAAAGTTAAACTCAAAGTTTAACTTCCGATTAATTAGCTGACTTTCTGAATTTTAACGAACAAGAAGCGAGGGAGAGTGGTTACGTTAGGGGCAGGTACCTAATAATTTTCTAATTAAGAAAACTGAACAAGCTAAAGCAAGCTTTCAGCTCTCTTCTTCAACATTTTAGAAGAAAACCTTTTTGTTTTCACTATTATCTTATGACACATTGTAAGGTACATATGTCACAATTTTTCTAGTACAACTGCTTATTTAAACAAGTTTATAGACAAGAACAAGGGGAGCACTACCCCTGAGAAAGGCTAGCGAATCACAATATCGACACAACGTTTAAAAACAGAAACTAAACACATTAAACTTATAGTTTATATAAACTTGTAGTTATTAAAATTCTGTCCTCCCCTAGGATAATTATCTCTCTACACCTATGAACAAGTCTCTAGATATATCTAAATATGTAACATCTTTATATCACTGCTTACTTCACTCCTTTGCCCACTATTTGTATCATCTTTATGTCCGTCTGTTGTTGGTCACAGCAGCGTTACCAAAGGCGCTACAGTATCGACAGTCGCCTGCGGCATTCGTTTTTAACAGGAACTTTTTCTGTACTCTCTTTCAAGGAAACTTTATTCAAATTATAAAGAGAAGCAAATGCATACATATGTCTAATCGAATTTCTGGCACGTATTTGTTTTTACGGTAATGATTATTTTAGTTCCTCCAGCGAATTTTTCTTGCTAATTGTTTTGATCGTCTTGTTGCTCAGAAGTTATGTGGTCGTTGGCTTATTCTTCTTATTATGTGGCCTCCATTAGCACATTTTGTGAGGTTTGAACTGCTGATTAAACGAATGTAATGACCCGCTGCAGTTTCTTATGATTTAACACAAAAATGAAAGACAAACGGTACCCGATTGATTACAACCATCGTGTGTATGATAGCAACTGCAAATCAGCACTTACGATTAGCCAGTTGAAAATAAGTTGTGTATTTCCCTTTCTTGTAGAAGTTTTGGAGGAGGAACTTTTTTGACGTGCTAGAATGTCATTATTTTTCTTCGTGCGACGTGACGAACGTGTGTGAAATCCCAATTTACACGAAAATTCTACCGAAGGTGCTTCTTATTTATGATCTTTGCTAACGAGGCCACTGGCAAGAAAACTACCCTGCAGCTAAACCTGCTGCCGCACAACTTTTTCACCTCCAAATTGCTTTTTCCCGCTTTTTCAAATCAACAAAAAAACAGACCTCTTTGCACTTTTTTACCGAGCCAAACGCCTAATTGAGCGCCTATTTTCGAGTATTTTCTTAGTCCGAAGAAATTATTTTTTATAAAGGACATCATCAAAATGATTACGCCTTACTTACTTAACTAGACAATCGATATTTGTAGAATTCCAGTTTCTGCATATTAGATAATATTTCGCTTATTTTCTGTCTTCACATCATCCGTATCATTTCTTTCCACACCTCCACATATATTTCGTTTACTTTCTGTAGCGATGTGACCTTCAGTTTGACTGGCGCAAAGTAGAAAAGAACGGTACTAGGCCAGAAAAGGAACGAGACAACTCTCGGCCAAGCTTTTAACCGGTGAGAAGCGTATAATCCGTACAGTACTGCACGGAAAAAATGACCATTTTATCCGCTACAATTGCATTGCTCAAATGTGCTGTTATTGGTACCATTTAATACTGAAAATATCAAAGAGATGTTTATTTATATTTGAAAATATATGAAAGGATTTAACGCTTGTTTTCGACTCGCACTACTATTCATGATTGAACAAAACTTTTGGCAGGTACTGTATGAAAATGTATGTTTAATGAACAAGGATCGAGAGTATAATGAGCTTTTTTCTCCCTACTTACAAATTTGCCAGCGCGCATTCAAGACATTGGAAGGGGCACACCGCTAGAGTAAGTAAATGAAGTATACCTGCGATTGTTAAAATAAGGCTGAAGAGAACCTTCCACCCTACTCTCCAGCTTTACACTGCTGTGTCGAAGGGAGCGCACCACCATTAGTTTTCCTGGGTTTGCACAGGGTCAGTGCAATGTAAAAATGTTTTGAACGATCGAGCCAATTTAGCGCGGAATCCAGAATTGTGGGTTTTACCCCATTCGACAAATATAGGGGAGACCTGGGCAAAATGGGATACTTAGGAAAGAAATCACTATATAAAAGAAATTAAATTGTTTAATAGAATAAGTTTTACTCAGATAGCACGAACTGCTTCTGGGAAAAACGACTGCACAAGCACACAATTATACATATAAGTAATTTATAAGTACATATTTCGATTTTTTGAAGCTAAAGAACCCTTAACAAAAGAATAAAAGACAATGCCTGTCTTTGGTAACCTTTTTCTTTCTTGTTCGTAACAAAAAAACCTACATTATGAAAACTACTGCTTTCACTTCTTTAAGAAATCAATTTACCTAATAGCTGTACTAATGAAAGGAATAATACGACATGTACAATACCTGATTTAAAAAGGAATGTACAGGATATTGCTGCATTCTTTTGTGTCAATATTTAAATTGTCTAGTCTAGTCACGTAAAGCTTTCCACCTTTCTAGGAGATTGATACTGAAAACAAGTGGAGATCGATAAACATTAAGTTAATAACATTTTATGCGTCAGTTCAAAAGATCATTTTTCATTTCCATGTCAAACTGTTCGTTGCTTCGTTTCAAAGGTTTTACGATGTACTATGTACTTGGTATTTGGAAGATCAAAGAAAATTTCATAAAGGCGTAAATTGACTCAAAATGTTTTATTTAGCACGATACGTAGGTATGTTTTAAAATCAATAGGTACGCATTGAACTACGCAATAATAAGTTCTACTTTACAAATTACTTGCACCAGTTATTTACTTACGGTTCGTATCATTCATTGTATCCATATCGCACTTTAATAAAAGTTCATTGGACGCGACGAAGCGCGAATATTGAAGTGTTAGAAGTTATTACAGTTTAGATAATGCGATGACACGAAGCGGGACACTCCTGGAAAAGATTGTATTATTGTACACTAGGTTTAATACGAAGTCACATGAGAATTCTTCGGAAAGAACTGATTAGAACGAGTGGGTAGTTCTTTTTGCTTCTGATTCCTTCTCTAATAGGAATTCTTCATCACAAATAGGGTTCGTTGATCTATTGTCAAACTTACAATGTATAATTCGCAGACCTAGTCGAAGATTCTTTTCAATGAATATAGTTTACAACTAAAGACGAATTAAAAACAGATTCACTCCTTTATTGTTTACTTAGGCTTAGGTCATAACTTATTACATCATCATCATCATAAGGTCGTCAGTCCTAAGACTGATTGGACACGTACCTCCACTCCTTCCTATCCTAAGCTAAACTTCGCATTTCCCTAAAACTAGAACAACCCACATCCTTTACTATTTGTGAACAGTAATCTAGGTCTACCTTTACCCCTCCTAACTCCTGTTTCTGTCTCTAATATGTCTCTGACTAGACCTTCATGCCTGAGAAGGTGTCCTACCAACATATCTCGCCTATTTCTTAGTGACTTCCATAGAATCCTCTGTTCTCCTATTCTTTCTAATACCTTTTCATTTCTAATACCTTTTCATTTCTAACCTTCTCTAGCCATAGTATCTTCATCATTCGTCTGTAACACCACATTTCGAACGCTTCTAGGCTTTTTTTTCCGCCGCGGACCCGTACGGCGCTGTGCTCAAAACATATACTTTTAACAACCTTTTTCGAAGTTCTAAATTAATCGTTCGCGACAGTGATGCCGAATTCCCTGCCGCAGGTAGTTTTCGTTAAAATATAGTTAGTCGATTCCCTCCCGGGTGCTAGCCGAGTTCCCTCCCGTTCATATCAGCTTCGATAATTAAGGTAACGACTACTTACCGATTTTATTTATCGAAAATAAATACATATTT